GTTTAGATATGTTTTTATTACCTTATCTTTCCGCAAACAATCTTGTAAAATCTGTATTGATCTTCTCTATCAATATATATTTTAAATTTGAAAATACTGTGTTTGTATTCATGCCCCCCCCTTCTACAAACTGTTTCTCTTCTTATAGACTCTTACGGGACCAACAAGTGGTATCAGAGCAGTGTTTTCTTTCTTTCCTTGTGTTTGACTGTTTTTCTGTACTAGTTTATCTTTTCTTAGATAACTTACTGCTTACAAATGGCTTTACAAATTGCAAACACACACACACAAGATAATGGCTCTCTTGCCAAACCTCCCCGGTTTGTCCGTGACAACTTTAGTCTCTGGAAGAACCGGATGTCCCTCTTTCTGGAAGGTGTGGATCCTGAAATTCCAAATTACATAGAAAATGGACCATATATTCCATTTGTTATTGTTCCGGCTGTTCCAGAAACAGCTACAACTGTCGCGATTCCTGAACGGCAGATTCGAAAGCTTCCACATCAGTAGAGCGATGAGGACAAGAAGAAAATAGCTATATACACGCGTGCTCGGTCTATAATARCTATGTCTCTTCCTGATGAGATCTATCACTCAGTGATGAAACTCAAAACTTCTAAATCCGTATGGGATACACTTTGTGTCCAATATGAAGGAACCACTCAGGTTCAGGAGACTAGAAAGATCAATCTAGTAAGACAGTATGAAAGCTTTTTCTATGGAAAGTCTGAGACGCTGTCTGAAGTACATCAAAGATTTAATTGCCTTCTTATTGATCTTAGGGCTGTCGGCAGGGAATATTCTAATTCTGAAACCTTGACTAAGTTTCTAGAATGCCTTCCTGAGTCTTGGGACACCTTTTCCATGTGTCTCAAGATGTCAAATGACATGTCCACTCTTTCTCTTCTTACCTTATACGGGATACTGCTTAACCATGAGCAATCTCGTCAGCTGAAAAGAAATCTTGTAAAAGAATCCAGGGAAATGAAAAGCTCTCTTTTAGCATTGATCTCTGAAGCTTCTCCAGTTGAAACTTTTACTCCTTTTGTTTCTTCTCTATCTCTTGTGGTCATCA